ACACCGTCACCTGCCTTCAAACATGAGATCGAAGCATCAATTGTATAAAGGTTATTCCACTCCAAAAAGAAACTATGGCTGTTTCGTGGTAGAAATATGCAGGATCGTAGTATCTACGCGTGCGAGCTTGGAAATATTCTTCCATTTACAATTCAGTTAAAAAAAATGCACAGTGAAATTCTTTGCGTAGAAATAATTAGACTCAGCGGTGTTTATGAGTTTAATTTTTATCATATATTTTTACTCCTGTAACTTGGAGGCCGTTCGTGAACACGTGTCCAATTATTTTTTTATTTATTGCTTACATGTGTGGACGATCTCACAGCCCACCTGTTGTTAAGTGGTTACCGGGGCCCGTAGACATCTACAACCTTGAGATATGAGTTCTAAGATCTCAGTATAGTTACAGCGGCTGTACCACCCTTCAAACCGAAACGCATTACTGCTTCACGGCAGAAATAGGCGGGGTGGTGTTTCCTACCCGTGCAGACTCACAAGAGGTCCACCTATCACCACCACCAGCATTTCCTTAGTTAAATCGATACAAGCCGACGGAATTTGAACAACGATAATAATTTTGTGAACCTCTTTTCGCTATTAATAAACTATGCGTACAAACGTATCGTGAAAAGTCACAAATTTCAACCAACTTTTATAACCAACCTCTGAAGGACGTCCTCACTAAAAATCGGGTTGCCTGAATACGTTCAAAACTATTATTCGAGGTTAAATACTGTACAATCACGCAACTTAACGAACAATGAACGACTGAGAAAAAAAAAAAACACATTATAACTTCACTTGACGCCAAGTTACACGTAAAATTTTATAACACACGGGGTGAGGCGAAATCCGAACAGATATTTTCTTCGCTGGATTAATGTTGAAGATAAATTTTCCGAATGCCGATTATCTGGCATTGTAGATATTTGAAAGGATCATTACTATATCACTACATAATATGTAGTATAAAACAAAGTCGCTTTCTCTGTCCCTATATCCCTATGTATGCTTAAATCTTTAAAACTACGCAACGGATTCTTATGCGGTTTTTTTCAATAGATACAGTGATTAAAGAGGAAGGTTTATATGTATAATAACATCCATTAAATAGTAGAGAAATCAATAATAAATTACAGTTTCCGAAGCGAAGCGAGGGCGGATCGCTAGTCAGCTAATAAATTAGCTAACGCTCGCCAGATATTCTTATTATGAATTTGATGTAATAGGTAAACAATATGCCAACAAACTTTAATGTCAGCAGCCGTCAAGTCACGAATGAGGCCGGAATATTTTTGTCTTAAGCCTAGAGCATCTTCATCTTCTAGAGACGAAATCTTAGTAGTAATGATTAGATCATTATTCAAATACAATAGTTACGGAATGATTTATTGATTAATATATTTTTTTTATTACGGAAATCGTTATCTATCTCCGAATTGAACCGGTTTTAGAAGTTACGATAAGTAGCGTCGGTCATTCTCTACATCGATTAAATAAAATCAAAGAAAGCGACAATTAAATCGAGCTCTACAAATCATAAGAACAATGCTAGCGCGATGAGATTCGTCTTTATAACAACAGAAGCTAACGATAATTAGATTATACACACAGACTTCACTAGATCTCCCAACCCGGAAACAATTAGATTATCACTGTTTTAATTCTATTTAAATATTATGGAAACCAAAAACTTGCTTAGAAGAAATTGAGAGATTTCGATTTAAAATTATCACATTAAATTAACAATAAAATTGGTGAATTCGTTTTTCATCGTTTACTTAAAAATGAGCCAACATCGAACAAGTGTTTCATTCAAATCGGCCGTGTGTAGTAGTGAGGCGCCGGAGCAAAACGTCGGTTCATTGAAATGTAGCGAGTATGATGAACCTTGATTACGGACACGCGATCAGCCCCGGGGCCACCACGTGATGAACTGGTCCCCGGTATCAGACAACATGACCTTCATTTCGTTTTTAATGTACATTCTTTATGAACGTTCTATATAAAGATAGCTAGTTGAAACCCGAATTAAAGAAAATCTTTGATGAACTCATTTCACTGCTCTCCCTAATATGATTATTGCAAAATTTCAGTAAAAATACGTAACATTCGATGTAGAACTACACGAATATGGCGATTGTACTAGTGTCAAATTATTAAATAGCTTCAAAGTGCTTTATATTAAACCTCGCTTGCCTGTACATTGTTTGAAATTGATCATGATAATGAAGTTTTAATTGTGACGTCACCGATGACGTCATCAAGCTAAATACTAGTTTAAGTCTAGCTATAAATTTATAAGTTGAAATTTTCATCGAAATACTCGAATTCTCTTTCACGGTTTTACAATAAGAAATAGTTGAATTAGATATGCATTTTAATTTCGTCCTATTAGACTTCGTATAAACGAAATGTAACATGCATGTACATAATCACTACATAGTATAAAACAAAGTCGCTTTCTCTGTCCCTATATCCCTATGTACCCTTAAATCTTTAATACTACGCAACGGATTTTGATGCGTTTTTTTTTAATAGATAGAGTGATTGAAGAGGAAGGTTTATATGTATAATAACATCCATTAAATAGTGGAGAAATCAATAATAAATTACAGTTTCCGAAGCGAAGCGAGGGCGCGTCACTAGTTATCTGTATAAAGAATTTTAAAATACGATCAAATAGAAAAGTGATCTGAGATACGTTTCGCCTTGATCTTCATTAACTAAATAGAAAAAAAAAACAAGTACCAATCTGTAACCGAAGTGAAACGAATATAGAGTTCCAAATAAAGCCTCTGGTAATAGCTCAGGTATGAGTTCCTCGATGAACGTGTTCACGAAACAAAAGAGCTCCCGAAACGGATAATAATATCCTTGTTTAGTTACATTTTAATAAACGAAATGAAAATAATGTTTTCCTCATGTTATTCAAGAGGAAAAATCCGAATATAAACTTCATTGAGTAACAGTTGTTTTCCTTTTAATGAATAATAAACAAAACAAAAAGTAACGTAACGCTTTTTGGTTTCTCTTACGTCGTTCTAAAATAAATAAATTCTAAAATAATGTTCAAGGAACGAAATTAAAATCGTTAAGTTGAGGTTAAGTGAGAATATATCTGAGTAAATCTCAATTACTACTCGAATTTGTAACATCGATTCGACGTAGTCTTTAATCTTTTATCTTTTTTTTTTTATTACTTAGATGGGTGGACGAGCTCACAGCCCACCTGGTGTTAAGTGGTTACTGGAGCCCATAGACATCTACAACGTAAACGCGCCACCCACCTCGAGATATAAGTTCTAAGATCTCAGTATAGTTACGACGGCTACCCCACCCTTCGAACCGAAACGCATTACTGCTTCACGGCGGAAATAGGCGGGGTGGTGGTACCTACACGTGCGGACTCCCAAGAGGTCCTACCACCAGTGATTACGCAAATTACAATTTAGCGGGTTTGATTTTTATTACACGATGTTATTCCTTCACCGTGGAAGTCAATCGTGAACATTCTCTATCTATCGATTAAGCTACTATAGAGAAATATCATGAGACATATCATCAAAAAGCAATGAAAAAAACTAATATATAAAGGCATACGTTCGATTGTAATGTATCTAGACCTCCACGCCGTCGAACCAAACAAGAAATAACAAATAAATCCTATCGAAAAAACTCGCTTCGCCAAGCCCTTCTACATTGTAATCGATCAAAATATATTCTTGCTTCGTTGACTACATTTAAAACAATTTACCGAACGGGTTTCATTATCTCGTGAATGTTAAGAAAAAATAAGAAAAAAAAAACGAATAAAACAAGTCGACGGGAAATCGTCCCCGATAATCTTCAAAACAAATGCACTTTAGACTTTAATGTGTTAATAAAAGTGTAAACGTTTTGTCGCGACGAACCTGTTTAGATGTATGATGCGAATGTTAGGTTGATATTTTAAGGTTTAAATAAATAAAATATTATATATACATAAATATATAATAGATAATACTTTTAATCAGTAAATTTGTGTGACCGTGAAACCTAGATTTTTTTTTATTGCTTAGATGGGTGGACGAGCTCACAGCCCACCTGGTGTTAAGTGGTTACTGGAGCCCATAGACATCTACAACGTAAATGCGCCACCCACCTTGAGATATAAGTTCTAAGGTCTCAGTATAGTTACAACGGCTACACCACCCTTCAAACGGAAACGCATTACTTCTTCACGGCATAAAATAGGCAGGGCGGTGGTACCTACTCGTGCGTACTCACAAGAGTTCCTACCACCAGTGATTGACGCGCCAGATTAATTTCAAATTAATCCGAGCTATGTTTTTTACGAATACGTTTCAAACTAAAACGATTTTTTATTCACAGATGTGTAATAAGTTTTTCATCTCGTTTTCTTTACTATAATCTAAAGGTTTACCATTAATAATCACCAAGTCTAATATAATTCAAATCAAGTCTATATTACAAAAAATTGTGCATCTAATATTTCATGACATCATCGACAATCGCCATGCAGGTGTGCGAGAGAGACGACAAGAAGGTCCCACAACCATTCACGCCTTAAATATTGTGCCTTTGTCATTTCACAACTTAAAACAAATCCGCGGCAAATAAATTTTAATAAACCTAGAATCAGAAACAGCCTTGCTAATGCTGAAAGACTTAAAACAGGCACGCTCCTAAGTGGATTAGTTTTCGTTACTGCGAATTAAATGCAATTAAGTCATTCTCGATAACGTAAGTAATTTAAACGCAACTAAGTAACAACTGTGTACCGACAGCCAAGTACTAAGTAATCACTTAATACTCGGATAGTTCTATAGGACCGGTTGCGTGAGCTGAGCTTAATTACTTTAATTTGCCACATGGTCATGACAGACGCCACTTAAGCCACCCCAAGTGTGGGCTCCAATAATACGTATGCGACAATGTTGATGTCGTAAAAACGAAACTGCTTATTCGCTCAGGCGTTTCCTGTGACCAACACTCACCCAGGTTTGCGGTCATGATGTCTTGATCCTTTGGCTTTTTTTTTCGTGGGCGTCCTTTTTGTCGCGGAGGGGGCGCTGCGGCGCCGTTAAAATACGGGCCTTTCTGCACATCCGGGTCGACACGGGTGAAGTCCGGCGACGGGTACGGGGGATAGTGGGCCCCCGGAGGCGGTCCCGCGTACGTACCAGGACACATTTGCGGGGGACCCGGCACGGCCATATGTGGTCCGTATTCTGGCATAGTCTCGTAATGAAGCCTACAATTGTAACACTAGTTTTAACATAAATTATTTTAAATTGAATATTGTAACTTTAAAACTCTTATAATGTTTTGATATACAGGGTGTTCTAGAAAGAATGGATAACCTTGAAACACCTCATAGAGATATTGGGGATGTCACATAAAATTAAAAATAAAAAAAATTCTTAGGTAGTACCCAAATTACTTATTCAAGAAAAAACATGCACTAAACCTTATTTAGTTGCTGTTGTAATTTTTTGTAAAAATTAATTCAAACTTAAGTTTTAATCATGAAATGTAGTATTTTAATCTGGGTAATTAATTTGGGTACTACCTGAGAACATTTTTTTATTTTATTTTTTTGTGTCCTCAGTAGCTCTACTATGAGGTGTTTCAGGATTATCCATTCTTTCTAGGACACCCTGTATACTAAAATGTGTTTTACCTGCAATAGACGGCAGCGTCTCTGATGCCGTACGTGTCGCCTTTATTTAGGGGCGTATTGCATAACGCGCAGGAGAAACAATGCACGTGGAAAACGAGGTCCCGTGCTCTCATAACTAGTTCTGACGCTGAGATCACCGTGTTGCAGCGAGCACAGCGCTTGGGTCCGTACAACCTGATGACAATAAATTAATTTTTATAAAAATATTCAATTGTAATATTTTTTTTCGCTTAGATGGGTGGACGAGCTCACAGCCCACATGGTATTAAGTGATTAAGAGTTTACTGGAACCCATCGACATCTACAACGTAAATGCGCCACCCACCTTGAGATATAAGTTCTAAGGTCTCTCAGTATAGTTACAACGGCTACCCCACCCTTCAAACCGAAACGCGTCACTGCTTCACGGCAGAAATAGGCAGGGCGGTGGTACCTACCCGTGCGGACTCACAAGAGGTCCTACCACCAGTAAATAAACGTTTTTGAGCATCACTTCTATCTTATATCTCAAGTCAACGGTATTAGCTCTACGTTTTGTATAGCATAGCCACTCTCTCACGTTTCCGTGTCATTAAAAATACGAAGACGATGACATTGAATGATAAAACTTCATATTTTAAAAAAAAGGAAAAAAAAAAGAAGAAAAATAGAAATTATCCAGACAAAAAATAAAGACACAGAAAAGTCTTGAGACGCAGCAATAATAAGATACTAATAAGACAGAGCTGGATTCGCAATTCTGTCGCCTCAATTGTTTTCTTTTCTTTAATTCATCTTTTATTTGTCTGTTATAAAAGTCTTTAGAGTAGCTCTCAACTTATTTGATACTTTAGTATTTTCTTCGGTTTTCGCGATTGGTACACATAGTTAAAACCACTTATACAACTTAAATCTGTTTTTTTGAAGTTATACTTCTTTAGGCGCGTTATAAAAAATTTATGAGAGTGAAATTTTACGATGCGCACCCTGACACAAAATTAACAGAGTGAAGTTGCCCACTAAATCGCTCATTACAATACGACCGACGTAACTTGGCGAGTCTGAATATAGCCGAAGGTGAACTTTCCGAACCATACCGAGAATTACCGAATTAATATGTCAAGAAAAGGGATGTCCAATATGCGTGTTTGAGGATGTTGTTTAATCGATTTTTTTTCAAATTGATTAAAATTTAAATTAAAAAAAAAGAAATAAATTTAATAAAAATAAAGTATAACTTCTTACGCGCGTACATAAGTACACGCACCCTTTTTTTTTAATTGTCATTATATTATTTCAGCCTTTTTGAATAACATACAGTTTTCTCGGACACAGATAACTAAGGTGTTACTTGATAGTATATATGCTGGAGGTCGTAATGTGAATAACATTGTTAAGCACCCTGAGAAGCTGAAACCAATCCACTCTACGTATGTTTCACCAACGACTGAATATCATATACCAATTAGATCAGCGTGAGTGTCTCTATTCAAATCCAATTGATACTCCAGACAATACTCAAATGTCGGACGTGGTAACGTGAATTTTTTTTTTTAAATGAATTCATCCATTTTCTGCACATTCTGACAATAAGCTGATGGTAAGTTTTTTTTATAAATAAGACAATAAGATCAATGAACTCACAGTCCACCTGGTGTTAAGCGGTTACTGGAGGCCATAGACATCTACAATGTAAATGCGCCACCTACCTTGAGATATAAGTTTTAACATCTCAAGTATAGTTACAAGGGCTGCCCCACCCTTCAAACCGAAACGCATTACTGCTTCACGGCAGAAATAGGCAGGGTGGTGGTAACTACCCGTGCGGACTCACAAGAGGTCCTACCATCAGTAAAGCCAAGTGGTCGCCCTTTTCGGGGACGTCGGTCAACCTCACTGGTTATAGCCTCTGGTATAGTTTATTATAGCAACTGTTTTTATATATTGTAAACTAAAGACTGCCGAATCCTTCGAACAGGAAAATATAATCGCTTTGCAGACAAAAAAATGGGATTACCCTGCGAGCCCACAACATGTAAACGCTCATTAGAAGTTTCCAGAAAAATCCAGAAGTTTCCCGAAAAAAATGCTGAACAAAATCGCTATTCGTCAGCGAATTCGCTACAAAACAATCAACTTCATTTAAAACACGGAGACATCTCGATAGACACTAAACATGTCTAAAAGAATATACAAATATATACTTTATGATTTTCCTAAGGTATTCGGGTCGGTGACCTGGCCTTTGTAAATATAATATTATATCAATAGTGCTAACGTCGCGTGGCCGGAGCGGTAAATTGCGCTAATTTACTTGAATTATTTAAAAAAATATAAATGCATTAGAGTATAACATATTTCAAATTTATATTTTACTAGTAGTATTGTCTTATAAATTTTTTTTTTAAATGTATTACTTAAAATAAAAAGCCGAATCCATTTTTAAATCTTATTTACGAAAACTCATTATATATTTTACGTTAATAAAAAGGAAACGACGAATTTTAGTTCTTTCTTTTTTTTTCTGCATACTTTATGAGTAAAATTTCACTTCTCACAAAAAAACTGTCCCTCGCAAATGCAAAATTTTACGGAAAATGAACTGTAATATGTTTCAAACAAAAAACAGTCTGAGCTAATTATATTATAAACCTGAGTCGCGGCCTTTTTATCTCCACTGTCAGTTTAATTAATATATTGTAATATTGTTTAGATAGAATTAGAAATTAATGTCATATTATATAACTACTGAACCATGCATCCGATTGACTTGAAACTTGGTATCCATGTAGAAAATACATGTACTTAATGGATAGGCTAATATTTATATGAGTGTTGGACTCCCTAATAATAATGACAATAAATAATAATGTTAATTTTAAATGTCCAACGAAGCGGGCGAGTACGGCTGTTCGTATATACCTATGTATGTGTGTACGTAAGGTACGCACCGCCAAACATCCTAGAACACAGTGCGTAATCACAACTAGACATATTTTTTGGTTATGTGCTTCCGAGCTTTTGACTGAACTCCGCTCCCACGGTATTTCCTGGGGTTGACAACATCTTCTCTTTCAAACGAGGTCTCAGCGGTAAGCGCTGGCTTAACTGTGTCCTTTTCATTGCTGTTTTTCATCAGCGATGGTAACCACTCACCATCAGCTGAATCAAGTGCTCGTTTACTAATCGCTGTAATTAGAAAAGTTATTTGTATTGTGGAGAAAATAAATGTAATTATTATTATTATTATTATTATTATATTACCTAACCGCACAAATCCATTATAAAAGAGTAAAAAAAAAACTCTAATACAAACATTCAAGTTGAGGAAAATAAACGTCATCCATAAGACCAGCGAGGCTACAGAATGTCCACCGATTTTAGTATGGTAATTAAAAGCCAACCGGTAAAGTTTCGAGATCTGAGATTGCCGGTTCGACTCCCGAGCGAGACGTCTCCGTGTGGTCCTGTTTCCACGACCCGGCTTTATCGTGATCGAGAGCTTAGTAAAAAAAAATGGCTTCATAAATGAGACATTTTGAGAAATCCATTCTGCTGAATGACATTGGTTAGTAATCTCCAACTGAACGACTTTTCAGAAACTGCGAAAATAATCTCCACTAATTCCACAAGTATTCATAGCGCATGTAGTATTGGACAAACAAAATATGCGATCATCCATCGTATCATTTACGAGTATGAACTGTAACAGAGATATATTGGCGAATTGAAAGCATTTTTATCTAAAAAGAATTTATTTTGTTCGCTCGTTTGACGAAAAAAAACGCAAAAAAACTTTAGCTGAACTCCCATTTGCGTGGACGAGATGCCGGGGATGCTTGTATTGTTATAAAATTGCTTCTAGACAAAAGCTTGCGAGCTCGCTTTGTTTTTAGCCTTGTTACTTTATAACCGTTTACTTTAATTAAAGCAACTTTAAGATAATTTACTGTTCGGCATCAAATCTATAATGCGAATGTATTGTAATCATCCTTTAAGTCGGCTCGTTTAGGTAATAGTAAAATACGATTTTAAGTTTAAACACCGAGTGGCGATGAATTAAGATTGTAATTATACAAAAAAAAATATTATCCTCAGAATAAATGAAAGAGACAAGTATTCCATAACACGTAATTAAATTACGGATAGAAAAACACTGAATTACAGATATTTTTTAAATCATAGACTATAAAAATAAATAGAAAATAAACAGAACTTCCGCCTACTATCTCCGTTGACGGTTCAAACAATCGGGACAGAAATCCCTTGTCCCGTGGTGTAATAAGACCTCAATTAGTTAGTTTAACTGAACCAGTTCAGGTAATCGAAGGAACCAGATGTGATAACTGTATGAAAGACAGACAACAAGATAAATAAACGGACAAAAAGATTTAGATGTGCTAATAGTACATATAATAGTGAGAAATATTATCTTGTCTGTTTGTGTGTTTCGCATTCTTATCTCCGCAATAGCGGGCCAGATTTGGAAGCAAATTAAACATTAACTATTGGGATCATTATATATTGCCCACTGAGTTTCTCGCCGGATCTTGTCAGTGGGTCGCGTTTCCGATCCGACGGTAGATTCTGCGAAGCACTGCTCTTGCTAGAGCCAGTGTTAGCAACACTCCCGGTTTGAGCCCCGTGAGCTCCCAACACCTCAAGGAGAAGCTGAAATAGCGTCTCAAGGCTATCAGAACAGGTAGGAAAAAAATATTATTTAGGCTAAAAAGCGTGGATACGACTTTTGAGTCTCGCTGTCTATAGAAATGCAAAGAAATACGTTTCGTGATTCTTTTGTTGATACTCAAATATGAACATTTAAAAGTGGATCATGTTAAATTTGATTATTTGTCTTATGAATGTGATAAGCATATACAATGCGATGTACAGATGCAACGCGTAAGAGAAGTTGTCACTTAACAACTATTTCACCGCGTCTCTCTCTGTACACGCGAAGCTAAAACCGCCGGACTAGTTCATTAGTGATTCAAGTTGTTAGAAAATTTGTTGGTAGCCCGTCTGTGCTGGCACGTGTACTTTCGTCATGAGCTGCAAGCGATTTTAATACATATTAAATTGTCTTATTTTAATGTTACTAGTGTAGTGGTTGTCAACTATTATGTCGACTTTATCGTGCCGCCAAATTTTACACAGTGTATTTATTATACGTAATTAAAAAACTTTTATACTTA